AAGGCAACCATTGTTTTCAGGTTCTTTAACATCCGAGAAATATTAATGTTTTTTTTTTTTTAATTGACAAAATGTAAGCCATGTATAAGTAACATCTATAGCTTCATGTAAATAGTCGGGACCGCACTATTTTAGCATTCCAGTCTTGTTATTTCCTGTATCGCAAGTGCTTGCAAACATAAATTCCCACATAGCTGTGTACATCATTTTAATTTTTTAGTGCTCGCATTTCGGACTTTTTCTATTCTTGTTATTCTATCTGGAGGCCTTGACATTGTCTGCGTCTAGGGGCTATTGTCTGACTACCACAAAAGCAAAAACAAAAAGAGGAACAACCACAGGCACATTAAACGATAAACATACATACATACGTGTACATATGGCTGTTACCGAGAATTTGTGGGCTCATGTGGGGGAAAAACCGGAGCCGCACGTACAAATAGTACATGTTTTTATTATTGCAGATATTTCTGTATTTCTGGCGAAGTACTATGTTGGACAGATGTTGCCGATAGGCCCAAAAATAGAGCAGTGAATGGGAATTGATAACCCAATGCTGCCTAGTCATGTTACTTAGCGCATTGCTCTCATGTTGGGGCCTGAATGTGTGTTTTATTTATTTTTAGAGTAAAGGCCTTGTTGACAAACGCCAGAGGAGTAACAGCCACAGACATAATAACACAGATACTTGTACAATCGTACAGACACAAGTATGTACTGATATATAAATGGTAACCCTGTTTTTTAATATACTTATGTACATACATACATACATGTACAGATATTTTGGCGCTTGTTTTTGTTTACCCAGTCTGAAGGCCCAGTTTGTTTTCATTTTTTGTTTTTGTTCTTTGTTCTTTGTGATGGTGTTGACTGCTCGAACGCGTGTGTTTAATTTGTGAGCCGAAAATATAGTTGGCTTTTGTTCTGATTACATTCTTGTAGGCGCCCCATACGCACTTCTGTCATTTCTGTATTGTTTTTGTTTTATTTCGTATGTACATACGCACACAAATAGGTCTATTAGTACCATGTTTTATGATATTTTTCTGCATTGACGCAAATGGTTGAGCCAGCCCATGTGTTCATTTCAATTAAAACTAGAATTATGCGGACTCCACTTTCTCCTCTTTATGGCTGCACTTAATTCCCTGCTCCCACATTAAATAAAAGATATGTACATACATATGTATGTATGTATAGTATGTACAAAGGGAAGAGAACAAAGCGGGCGCTTAAAACATTTTGCGCACGCCATTATGGCAACGTCGACTGCGACGCCGACGCCGACGCTGGCGTCCACACGCGCGCTCATTTGATTTTGTGTGCCCATTAATGGGCGCAACAACTAAAACTCATTTTGTCAGCCTCGTGTCCGAGAACCGTTTACTGCAGGCCCCACGGGCGCACAGTGGCTGAAAATGCAAAGTAATTTCATTGAAATGGAATAATGAACAAGAGAGAATGCTACAGTTGGGCAAGCTCGACAATGAAATACCCTACACCCAAACAAACTTCCGACGCCATGTTATCAGCGCGTGGAGTAGAACTTTTCGCAAATCACTTTTCTTAAAATCTACCAATTTAGATACAATTTCACATAAAAGTTGTGAAAGGGCGGTGGAAGGGAGCGAAATAAACTTGAGTTGCCTAGGTGTTGCCCCAAGTTTTGTGAATATGGGCGAAAGCGTTTCCGAAATCCAAGCGATCATCCAGACAGACAGATGGATGTCCAGATCGATATCTCTCCGCACGCTGATTAATGTATGGGATCGAAAATGCTTTCTTCTGCGTGTTACATAACTAATATACAGTTTTTACCTTACAGGAACAAAGTTTTAAAATTTCTAACTAATTTTACTTCATCTCCCATGGCTCTTTATATATGTCCATTGCGGAATTGCGGGGTGTAAATTGAAATCCTTTCTTCAAAATATGTACAATATACATAGTTTGAAATTTTCAACTCGAATTATTGCAATTCTTGCGTTTAAAAAAAAAATGAATGCCTATTTGCACCTTTCAGTAAATTGTATAGATTTTGTATGAATTAAAAGACTTTAAATACAACTGTACAGCCTAATGGTACTTGGGTTTAAAAAAGCAATAAAATCTGGATAAGATAATGGGTAAATGCCTGTGAATTTTCATTAAGGTCTCGAAGAACTTCTTTAATAATCAAGTATATATAACGAATACAATAGTCGTTTAACAAGTATCACACATTAAATATAATTCAATCAAACTAAATGCAGCGAAATCTTGTCGAGGATGAAGCTGGCATCAAATCGGAATTGCTGTCTCTTTAAAGGAATTTTCCACTTAACTTATTCCCCGTTTAGACTGTGGAGAGGGACCACTGTGGTGAGTTAGTAGTCCAGTAGTCCCATTCAATGTAGCCAACTGGCTCCTCTCCTCTCCGCACCGCTCGCTTCATTTTTCGCGAACCATTTCCGCTGTTGGTGCTCAGCTGACCGTGATGGGCGGACGAACGGCTGTGGTCGCTTTCGTACTTTTTATTAGCTCGTTTCTTTTGTTTCAGTCGCTTACACGTGTTGGCAATTGAAATTGAAAAGTGTCTGCACACACACACATACACAAGGCGTTATAACACCCACGAAGCCATTAAAATCATACAAGTATATACACAGCAACAACAGCAACGACAAGAACATCAGCTTGCTTGCAATTGAGACGACGATGGCGATGACGATGACGAGGGCGGCAGTGCAGACTCATGTGTTATGCTAATTTCTCTTTTATTGTTTTTGCTACGCTCTTGCATTGTTTTTATTGCTTGCTTTCTTTCTGCTTTAGTCACAGCGTTGAGACTTAACCTTCAGGCAGTCGGGGACCAGCCCCTTCCCCCTCCCCATTTGCAAACCCAACCAGCAAGCCGCCCAGACAACAACAACTGGCCCGACGCTTGATTTAAATGAAACAGGAAATTAGACGCTTTGGCATTGCTGTAGTAGTAGTTGTTGTTGTTGTTTTTGTTGCTGGCGCTGCTGCTGTCGTTGCTGCTAAAGTTTCATAATATACGCCCTGCCTTTGTCATTTACCGTTTGCTTTTTGAATGCAGCAACAAATTCTACAAAAACTCCTCAACCTTGGCGTCGCCACCTGCAAGACGCCAAAGGGCATTGAATTACCTTTTCATTAGCACACGCGCCGTCTGAACGGCCACCCACACCCCTAATACACACATACACACGCTCCCAAGCATACATATACACATTCACATTCACACACACCCACACACCCGTACGCAACGTAAATCTGCACAGAGTTGCACGCCTTGGCAAAACTTTCACACCCGCCAACGACATTCAACCCCACAATATAAACAGCAAAGGCAAAGGCAAAAGCCACAGCCACGAACCCGCACACACACACACATAAATTCGCACACATACACACTCCAACCGACCCATTCACTCACACACCCAACAGTCTACAACAGCCGCACAGACACCACTAAAGGAAAAAAAAGCAATCGGCCGTAACAAAATTTCCGACACGTGCGACAACTTGTTTAGAACAGGGGGTCTGTGGGGGCAGCGGCAGCATCGCGAAGAAGAACGATGCGGTAGCGGCAGAGCGGCAAAGCGGCAGCAGCGACGCCAGCATTCAACAATAATATAAAAAAAAGAGTAGAGCAGCAATAGCAATAGCAACACACAAAATAAAAGCTTAAGCATTCCGAAAAACCGACTGCTCTGGTGCTGCTAGTGTAAGTGTTAACGACAAATGTTGCGAGCGAACTTGCTTAGGTTGCTTAGCCAAACTTGTACATTGGCAACAATGTTGCCGCAACATTAACCAAACACTCAAACATTGTCCGCCACCACATGGTGCGCAGGTCAGGCGTCAGCGATGAGCCGGCATAGAAACGCGTGGGCGTCTAAATACAAATGTCATCACGTAGCCACAATACAAGTATTGGAATGCACAAATTGGACTTGCAAAGTATATTTATAGGTATTGGTAAATGGATACGCAAAGAATTGCCCCATGTTCGAGTGGTAAGGAACTGCTGATGAAATTTTTTGGAAATTGTCACAAGAAGTGACTGATAACATTTGAACTCAAGAAAGTGAGGCAATAATCAATAACATTGGTTGTGGTCATGTGCATACGTGCATTTTATTATACACAGTGTGTATTACACACATATTTACAGTAATTTTGTCACAAATATTTTGAAAAGAAAATCCATTACGAGAATTTTTTAAATACTGTTACCGGGAATCAGTATCTAGCTTTAAAAAGATAGATTGAATTTAATTATCACGCTCTAATTTAATTTTAAATAAATAAATGTAAAATATTGTTGTGGATAAAAACGATTTGATTTGGTGATGAAAAATAATTATGTGAAAAAAGCTTGATGACTAGAAAGGAAGAAATTATTTGTCTTAAGATTCTATTTCTAACTCGTATTTTTCCTAATATTTCTCTATACTATATATTTATAAATTGAATTTTATTTAATTATTTTTTTTTGTTTCTTTATTTATATTATCGACAAACAGAGCTATCAATGTGAAAAAAATATCAAACAATGCAGAACTCATACTACATAAAACTTAGGAAATCAAGGCCTATATAGAAATAACAAAAATATCTAATAACAATTTTATTATTTTATTTTTGTGAAAAAATGTTTATGCCTTATCAATGAGGAGACGCCAAATTTCAACACTGAATTTTCAAAAACCTGCAATAAATATACATTGAAACTTAACACCATCTGCTAAACTTTTTAAAATTAATTAATCATAGCAACACAGCTCCTCTCATTAGGTTTTCTAAATACCTTCAGAATTCGCCAACACTCGCATCGCTTTGCAAAACGAAGTGGAACTTCGTGTCGGGTGTGCGTCCGCTGTCGCTGCATGAGCCATTTAAAGCGAAGCGCAATCGTCGCGCACGTTCATTCAGCGTTGCGCTTTCGTTTGGTGCGGATCTCATTGTTAGGCTAGCGAGTCAAGGTTCAGATACATACATACAAGTACTACTATATGTACGTGTAAGAGGCCGGAGCAACAATTTAATTTCGTATTTTCGTACATCGGTTTTGCACGTTGATTTGGAGAGCTCGTGCGGGTTAGTGTGTGTGTGTGTACGTGTATAGCTCGTGCGGACTGTTGTTGTTGTTGTAGTTAAACGAAAGCGAAAGTTTTTGTTTGCGCGCGTGTTGGTAACAGCCTCGCAGTCGCAGTCAGAGTCTCAGTCGCCGTGACCGTCGTCGTCATAGACAATCCTTGTCTATGATTGCTGCCCGCTGATTGTAAACACGCATACATACAAAAACAGACAAAATAAACACTCACGGAGGTACGCCAGCGCCTGTCTACAACCTACTACCTACTAGAAGAGATTAAAAGCGTGTGAAAACAACAAAAATGCTCATTAGTTTCAATGAGCGTGCAATAAATTAAGTAAACGTGTTTCTGTTGCCATTATCGCTGGTGCTGGTAGTGGTAGTGGTATTGTTGCCCCAATTGTGCACATGTGAGTGTGTTAGTGTGTCCAAACTTGAAGTGAAAAAAAACAGGCAGTTCCTGGAATTAAATACTCACATACAATCGTATGTTTAAAGCCAAACAGCTGTTAGTCACATACATACCTAAGCTAATTTTGAAATAACATTCCTGCGGCACTTCCTGGAAGCAAATCAAACCAGCAAACAAACGGGTGAGTGGCCCCTGCCAGAATAAGAAAAACAAAAAATGAGAACAATAACAATTCATACAATGAAGAAATAATGAAATGCTGCCCCCATAATGCGCATAAATTATGCAAACGTGCCGTCTGCAACGCCACGGTAAATGTTCATAAATCTTGAGGCAGTACATTAGCTAAGCCTTCGGCTATATACATACATACATACATATGTCTACACATATGTGTTGGTTGGTGTGGGTGTAACGCCCGTGCCTCGCAGCTTCCGCAGCCCACAGTTATGCGCGCGTGCCAGTGTTTGTGTAAAAAATTGCATTCCATATCCGGTTGTGAGCTTTTAACTTGACGTTCTCTTGCCGTTTATTCTCTCTCTCACTCTCTCTCTCTCTCTCTCTCTTACTTGGTCTGCCTTCATTCTCGCCCACTCTCTAGCATAAAAAATGTCCCTCCCGCCATCTGTTCATTTTGATGCTGTGCAGCATTTATTTATTTTGAAATTGTGCGTCTCACCTTCTCCAAGGACGAATTTAGGTCAGTGTAGGAGTGTTGGCCCCCTTCGAGAGCATATGCTTCTATATATCCAAATGCTGCTTAACGGTCTCACTAGCAGCGTCATCTGTTGATGACGCATGCTATATACACACATGTAGGAGAATATGCCCTTTAGGGCTTACTGCACTCTGCACTCTCTGGATCACATGACGTATGTGTAATATTGATTTCTCCCACGCTGCAATGCCACTGAAAATGAATCGCTCGACTAATTATGCTGCAATGCACGACAAAAACCAAAACAATGCCAAGCAGCTACCATGGAGTTTTTGCGAAAAAAAAAACAACAAAACAGTAAATCCCAAAAAACTTGTGGCTTGTCTTTTTTGTTGTTGGTTAAAGCTCAACACACGCATGTTAAAAAGTAGAAGAAAAAATGTGGAAATCAACATATATTGACATACCGTCGATTAAATACCCTTTGATTTTGTATACTCCCATTGACATTTCTATGAATCTAGAACCCTCCCTATTAATAAAATTTGACAGAAAAACAACAGGAACTATTAGTGGAAACTATCTTTTTGCTACCCGAGCGGTTCTAAAGAACTTGAAAATTTGTAAATACAAAACTGAATTGCGTTTTATAGTAATCCTGTTGCTACTAACAATTTTAAAAGTATTAAAAATCAGTGCGTGAAACGAGCATCTCGATTTCATTCATATCATAAAATTGTAGCATGCGGAAGATTGGATTAAACTCCAGATTTGCAAAATGAAACTTCAATTATTAAATAAATATTATTTGGAAAATACCTAATAAAGAGGGAAAAGAATAGAGAATATTCTCTATACAAGAATGTTCAATTTGTATGCATTTTAGCGTGCTACGGCTCTTTAGTGTATGGGCTGTTATACCTCAGCCGTTGCAAAGATAATTTCTAATTCGTTATGGCTTTGGCAAGGGTATGTGATAGAGATGACGACACAGATGGCACTGGAAACGTGCGAGTGCAAATAAATGTGAGACAAAACACATGCGAAAAAGGTTGGGCAATGCTCGTCGGACGGTTGGTTGGCGCGGGGCTTGGATGTAGGGGAACATGTTGACTGGCTGCCTAATTTTTTGCGCCTTGCAAAAAACGTGCCGACAGTTAGTCAGTCAGACAAGCAATTTCGGTTGCGACCCCAAAGGCGGCTGTCGTTGTTGTTTCTTTTTTTTTTTTTGCTTTTGTTGCTCGCGCTTATTTGTTCAACATAAAATGCCATAACTTTAAAATGTGTTAATGTATACAAAGTGAGCCAGCAGTGCCAACGACTTTATATTGTATAAGACAAACATTTGTTTACAAAATGTTACACCCAACGCTCGAGATATGTGTGTATGTACATCCTACATTCATATAGTATGTGTATGTATGCATGTGTAGAGCATGTGCGGCATTCTATGTATTTAACTGTGCCGAACGGCAAAAACGTTCATGTGTTAAGCGTGTGAATAGCGATTCCGGTTCTCGAGAATCCAAATAAAAGCAGACTCTGAATCTGACTTATCAAGTCGTCGAAATGTGCGCCGTCATATCAATCAGTCCCCACTTCAGCGACATCGGCGATGGCGTCTGTCTGCAGACAGACTCTGTCCCACTGGCTGAGAGTGCGTAAGACTTCGTGGCTTTTTGATGGCTCTGTGATGATGACGATGGTTTTGGCGGCTGCTGTAGCATTCGAGTGCGCGTGTGGGACTCTGGCTTTGACTATTGTTGCAAAGACAGCAGCTGTTTGTTTATTTCCATGAATCAATCCGTTTGTTTGGCTCAAAACTTTGATATACGCTACGGAGGCAATGAGATATAATTATATGCACATACATAATTGAATTCATAAATCGGTTATTCTTGTAAAACCGTTAGGAAGATCGTCTTAGTAATAAACAAAATTTAGCTTGGTCACCCTTATAGAGCATTGGTCATAAAAGTTTCATATTTTATGAATGTAGTAAAACGCAATGTAAGCTCAACATAAAACAACACGTGTTCATTTCATAATTTTGTTGGGTTGTTAAATTTATTTTGTGGGAGATTTCACAAATGATGAAACAAATATAACAATTTATGTTTACTATTGAAGAGGAAGTATACTGTTGCAGGGCTTTATACAGTTGTTATGCCATAATCGATTCCAACAAAAAAAGATTTATATATCTCCTCCTATAAATTCCGATTGAGGTAGGTTAGCATTCATGCTGAACTGCTGGTACCATAAATCATGTTAGTTTTGTAATATTTTACTTAAAGCTTCCGTCTAATCAGCTGTTGTATAATTGTTTCAACAAAATTATGTCGGTGTTCCCAAGAAATTCTAAATTTCCAAAATAAGCTATCCTTATCGGCGGCATTCAAAATCATTAGTACTCAACATAGCGGATTAAAACAAAATAAGTCTATTTTTAGACATTTCCGCAGAGAATGAAACATTGTCCATACAAATTTAAAATTTAGATAAACTATGTGTGTACATACATACATTTGTGTGTACGTATATACATATATGTATGTGTTGTGTAAATAATCATTTTCTGTTAAGGGCTTCTGAGGTTTATGGGATCAAAGCGTGTTTAAGTGAACTTTAAAAACATCAACTATTTCCAACAACAGTGCTGACATTGTTATACCAGCCACACACGTATTTAAATGTGTGTTGGTTTTCAGTCTTTCCATATTGAATGCTTCCAATACTCGTGGACCAAATTTGTTGGCACCTGCTCAACGAAATAAACCCTACTATTTATGGTTTTCATGAACGTCAATAACATGACATGGAATTGCAAATAAAAACAAGCTTTAATTTCTATTAAAAATAAACGAAGGCACAGGAGGCCGTACCACAATATTTTACAGGCATATGTATACATATGTACATATATACATAAATAAATGTGTGTATAAACTGTATTTAATGCAAGTTTATGACAGAACATTAATTTATTAGGCCACAAAACTCGTCCATTCGCAGCGAACACAAAACGCCTAGGAAATTTATCATTTTTCCTTGAACGCGTAGCGCATTAAAACTTCAAGCTGAAGCGACGCGTCTCACAATCTACCGCATGTATGTATGTATGTATGTGGATTGAGAATTTTCGAATGAGTGTGCATGTATGAATGTATGTGTGTACATGCGCCGGTCGTTGATCAGGGCAGCGGCAGCGGCAGCACCAACAACAACGACGCCGTCAGCTTCTAGCTTTGGCCCAAATTGTGGACAAAAGGGGAGCGCGCGCAGCTTGGCCAAGCAACACGTGCGCCGTTAATTCAATAAAAACAACAAGAGCGAGCAGCATGCACGCACACAGAAACAGACTCACACGCACATTCAGACAGCGTCGTTGTAGGAAAAGCTTCGTTGCGCTGTCGACGCCGTTCTGCTTGCCGGCATAAAAAATTCATTAACAGCATGTGATTCTCTGCTGCCCGTGTGTTTGCCTTTCCGTCTCTCCCGCCTTACTCTGCCTATCACTCCCTCTCTCTCTCTCTCTCTCTCTCTCGCTCGCTCTTTATGCGTGTGTGTCTGTGTTGGGGAAGCTTTACTTTTCGCTTGTGTGCCTCGGCCTGCTTGTGTTTTAGATTAAGGGGGGGCCGCTGTTATAAGTTTGCTTCGCTAACCCCGTCCCTTTCTGCTGGTCTTTCTCCGACTGCGTCTGTGACCCATTTGCTTCAAAAAAAAAAAAAAAAAAAAAAAAATCGCAGCTCGTGGCTATGAAATTATCGCCAAGTGGCCGCCAACCCAACAAGCGTCCGACGTCTGACGGCGATTGAATGACAAAGTCTTTTTAATTTATGCAGGCAACTACAAATTAATTTTTGTTTTCCTCTTCGTTTACGCTGCTTTTTCCATTTGCTTCTCCCCCATTGCTTCATCTGTTGTTTTTTGTCTGAGCCACACGTGTTTGCATTTGAGTCTATGTCTGTGTGTGTTTGTGCCCGTCTTAAATTGTAACAAACGGCTACCGTAATGCCATAAAAGTTAAATTAGAAACATGACAAACACACGAGGGGCCACAAAAAACACAACCAAGTATAATAACAGTAAAAATTGGCTAATTTTTTAGACATTATATGGGCTTTATTCAAATTTTTTATTTTTTCCTTTTTTTTGTTCGCAAAATGTTTGCAAACTTGCGCTGCTGAGTCTAGCTTTAAGCGGTTAAAACCACAATACAGTTGTTGCCTTAGTCACTCAATTAAAAGCTATTATATATTGAAAAGTTTGGGAGGAATTTTTTATGAAATTAATAAAAACAAGTTGAAAAATTGCATCAAGTGCAAATTTTGTAAGCATTTGGTTAACTTTCATTATTAAGTTGTTTGTATACCAGTAAGCAACTAGATATGTGTATACTTATGTAATATTTGTGGTTTATTTGTTTGTGGGAATGTATTTTATTTAATGATATGTAAATGTAATATTTGTTGATTAAATGCCATGTGTGTTCACAAAATAGTTTAACTCAACTATAGGAA